TATTTTTTAAATTTCACTAAAATTCTCATCTCCCCTCTTAAGGAGAGGAGATGGCAACTAACCCCCGGCAGAAGCACAGTCGGCCGGGGTTCAGGGCCCCAGGGAGAGAAACCGGCGTACAATGCGGGCAGAATCTAAGAGCACCGCTTTCTGCATCTTTCCCGGGAGTGAGCCGCCTCGGAATGCCAACCGTCTGAGATGTTGTTCCAGACTGGTTGGGATAAGACCGTTCACCGACATAACGATTGGGATGATTTCGGTAGATGTCACCCCCCACATTTCGGTCACCTCGTGAGCCAGGTCGAGATATTTTCTCTTCTTCTCGGTTTCGGCTTTCACGAGGTTCTCGTCATGCGGTATGGTGACATCCACCAAAAACACCCTCGAGAGTGCCCGATCCATCACCACGATATCAGGTTTGTTCGCAAGAACGGTCCTGTCCGTGATGATGGATCGGTCCCAGTAGAGCCTTACGCTGTCGCTTTCGAGGACCGGCTGGGGCTCGTACTTATAGTACGGCAACCTCTCATTCGCGAGGCCGTACTTCAGAGCTAGCTCTTGATGGAGTATTTTGGCTACCTGGTTGTGTCTGTGCAAGTACTCAGTGTTGGCAAGAGCTGAACAACCCGAAAGCACATGTCTGAGTGACTCTCCGGGATGGCGACATGCCCGACAGATGTCCTCAGTGCCATCCTTCAGAATGTGCTTTCGGTAATTGTTCGTCTTAACCACCTGATCCTGTATTGCACAGACAAAACCCTCGGTCTCTCCGAAGAGATCACCGAACTGTAGCCAGTGCACGGAGGTCTTCGTGTTTACGTACGGCCCGTGAAGGGCTTTGAAGAACCTTCCGTGCAACTCCTTCTCTTTCCATACGGCCTCCCGCTGAGAGGTACTTAAAACTTCGGGTTTTCGCCAGTCCTCTTTAGCCAGAGAAAGAGGGGTGAATCCTTTGTCACATTCTATGACCTCTCTATGCAAAGCCTCGTCTATTTTCTCCAGAAAATATGTCCTGAGGCTGTCAACCTCGCGGTTGTGCATGGTCTTAACACTTAACAAGCCTCGACCACCAGCCTTCCGCGGGATATACAGCCTCATGACTGACGATTTCGGGTGATGCTTATTATTATTATTATTATGTGTTCCATTTTGTTAGTAACAATTTTCTTACAAATTATGTTAGTAGAAAAGAAAAGCAATTTAATTAAAGCAGTTCGCTCAGATGTGAGCCAGCCGACTACATCAGCATCTGAATGAAATGCTCAATTTCTAATATTTTATTTACTACATTACTCTCATATGGAATCGCACTACATAAATATAGTACAACTTGTCACACATGTACCTTTTAGGCATTGCTGTGGGAGCGAGAGAGATAGACATCCTATCAGAACAGGACTTGAGATTTTCATCAGTAAGAAACTCTTTTACTTGATAATAGGCCTTACTTTGTAGTTTCTTTTTAATAATCTAACAGATTTATCTAATTTATTTTAGTTAGTTTAGGGTTCCGTACCTCCAAAGGAAAAAGCGGAACCCTTTCAGGATCACTCTGATGTCCATCTGTCTTTCAAGACAATTTTTCTTAGGAACGCGTGGAGGTATCAAGTTGATATTAATATCATATACTCAGGGTTGCGATCTCTTAAAGCAGTGAAAAAATCAAGCTTCTAAATCGACGCGATCAAAAAATAAGGCCGTTTATGTTCCATTTATATCACATATTTTGACATTGGCAAAAGGAATCGAAACCTATAAGGTACTTCCCGATGATCTAGAATTATGAAATTTGGCAAGAAGCAATGTCATGTAGCAAAAATAAAGGGAAAAAATTCAAAAACTGTAAATAAAAAAAAAACCGTAATATATCACAAAAAAATTAATGATTTTCTACGGAACCTTCGTTGCGCGAGTCTGACTCGCCCTTGACCGGCTTTTTTTTTATATATGACGGTAGTTTACTATAAATTAATACTGACATTGAATAAGGGCCGGAACTACGTAGTACTAAATTGTATTTTGAATTGACCAAGTTGTTTTTATAACGCGATTCGTAGCGACAAGGCATGCTACCTGGAGTGGTATTCGAATTTGGATATTTTGTGATAAATTTGCTAATTTCCATTGTTTTTTATTAATTCAGATCCCTTAATACATATAGTTTTTTTTTTTCATTTTAAAAACTAGTAACTTTTTTTTAATCTCCAATACTTCTCGTAATCTGCAGCTTTTTTATTATGCAACTTAGAATGGCAAACAATGTGACGGCCCACCTGAGGGAAAGTGGTAACCGTCGCCTATAGACATGAGCAGTATCATGGACATAACAGAGTATACTGTTTCACCCATGATACCCCCATGCGTTGCCATTCCTGAGGACTCAGGTGTTATTCCTCTGCACCCAGCAAATTCACTGCCATATCCCACCCTTCAAACCGAAATACAGCCATGCACACATAACTGCTTTACGATAGAAACACGAATGGAACAGAGGTGCCCAAGCAAACGACTTTTGTACAAAGTCTCCCTCTGGTAAATAATTTATCATAGTTTCCATAAATGTTCTCGTTACTCCCGTCTCCCATAAAACATGGAATATGCAGCGCGATAGTCTAAAAGTTCATAATACTCGTATTTGTGGTGCGAACCCCCGTTATCGTCGCTATAACAACCCTTTAACATCCCATCGCCAGGCATTGGCCTTCCCCATAAGAGGGGCTGCATTAGCATACTATTATCACGTTAGCCGGACACGTCAATATTACGATTATTTCAGAGTTTTCCTTCTGTTGCTTCTATGTATGTATGTTTTATTTTATTCTCCTAGTTTCTTATGTTTTTTTTTATACAACTTAGAATGGCAAACAAGCTGACGGTCCACCTGATGGAAAGTGGTAACGGTCGCCTATAGACATGAACGTATGGACATAACAAAGTATACTGTCTCGCCCATGATACCCCCCATGCGTTGCCATTCCTGAGGACTCAGGTGTTATTCCTCTGTACCCAGTAAATTCACGACATATCCCACCCTTAAAACCGAAATACAGCCATGCAAACACATCTGCTTCACGGTTGAAACACGAATGGGACAGAGGTACCCAAGCAATCGATTTTTGTACAAAGTCTCCATCTGGTAAATGTTATGACATCTTAAGAATGAAAGTAAATACGCATCATCATCACTTTCACCATTTTGTCACTTTACCCCTTGGGGGGTTTTGCCAGTAGTGCTACGCTTGGCAGGCGGACTGTCAACCGCAGTCAGGATTTAGAGATGTTTTAAAAGGGACGCTACTGTCCAACCTTCACCCTCCTTTAGTTGGCTCTTACAATACCTATGGGATAGGAAGGGGTGGCCTATTCTATGCTGGGACCACGCGGCCATGAATATTGTTTAAAACAAAATATGCATGTAAAAGCTTCATGTTACTTAGCGAGCTATGATGTGTTTGCTCGGAGTTTCGTTGCGTGTCAGAATCCAAAATGAGGATACTCGCAGAAGAATCAAAGTGACCGACATAGCGTGAAGTATCTATCTATCTATCCTATTTAAGAGCTGCGCTCTTGTCGGTGGAGCTCTTGCGATTTTCAGCGAGTCTCTTCACCTTTTAAAACGACACGACACTAACTCCTTCCTGGATCTGCCTGATGTAACTAAACTGGGGAGAAAGGGGTTGTTAGCAATGGAGTTTGATAGCCCCATTGCTAGAAACATGCCCTATTAGGTCGATCTCCACGTGGTTCCCCTTGGAAACCATCGTGAACAATTCTTGTTGAATTTGTCACGATGGGCTAACTGACCTGCCTCATTCTCACCTATCATCCTTCACTGGTGCCCCGCCGGTGTATACCGATAGCGCGGGTGGGGTTGCCATTCCATTATCACCCATTGTAATGTAACTAAACTGCAAGTTAAAATGGCAATGGGGTCATAAAGCTTGAAAAACCGACAACCGATGGGGAAGAAAGGCTCTTGAGTGGCGAACTCGTATGGGCAAACGCAGTGTTTTACTTTAGCATGAATAGATTTTTTTTTATTGCTAACTGTGTACATACATGTAGCAGTAACAATTGCTTTGGACTTGATATTAGTAAAAACAATTTAAGAGCAGAACATGCTTATCCTTCGGGCTATGTCGTTTACAATAGGTGAACGTAAAATTTAAAACCTTTTTTTTAACTATTGGAGTTAACAAAAATTAACGTAAAAGAAAGAGACAAAATAATTTAATAGCTAAAAAATGTTTACGTTTTGACGTTTTTATGAATTAATTTATAGCCTTATTCATTACATTTTTCTTAATAAAATCGAATGAAAAGTAGTTCCAATACAATGCTTCGGAATACTTCGGAATTTCATTGTAAATTTTAACGTCCATTCCCACAAAAGATCTGTTTAGTTTTTCTGAGCGATTCTTTTGAGTAGCCAGCTTATATTTATGTCTAGTATTAAGATTATGAATAAGTAATATTCAAGAATTTAAGTTCATTATTTATTATTATGATTTATGACCATATATGTTACGCAGGGAGACTTTGTACAAAAGTCGATTGCTTGGCTACCTCTGTGCCCATTCGTGTTTCAACCGTGATGTAGTTGTGTTTGCATGGCTGTGTTTCAGTTTGAAGGATGGGATATGGCGTGAATTTACTGGGTACAGAGGAATAGCACCTGAGTCCTGAGGAATGGCAACCCATGGGGGGTATCATGGGCGTAACAGTATACTCTGTTATATCCATGGTACTGCTTATGTCTATAGGCGACGGTTACCACTTTCCATCAGGTGGGCCGTCAGCTTGTTTGCCATTCAAAGTTGTATAATAAAAAAGAACAATAGGTGAGGATGAAAGCAGGTCAGTTGACATAGTGACCAATTGAACAAGAATTAACCAATATGGTTTCCAGAGGGAACCTAGATATTTTTTAATAATCTATCTATCTATTTGATAAGTTTTTTTTTTCTATTGAAATGTAACGTTATTTGTGTGTGCCGCAGGCGCGGAAATGTCGCGTTGGCGCGTGTCCGATGGCGCCGGGTGAGCGCGCGTGTCGGCTAGGCGCCCATGCGCGCCTGGCTCCTCGTGTGTGCGGCGCTCGCGCTCGCGCCGTGCCGAGCGACCGCCGCGCACCCACAGGCAGACACAGCGCGCCTCGAGCGCATCAAGTCGCAGATACTCGCCAAGGTGAACAGGCCCTTATGGCCATACTCTCTTTTTATAGGATGGTCACTCCGCCTGCGCTATCAGCGCTGCGATACAGCGCGCCTCGAGCGCTACAAGTCGCAGATATTTGCCAAGGTGAACAGGCCCTTATGGCCATACTCTCTTTTTATAGCATTGTCACTTCACCTGCGCTATTAGAACTGTGATACAGCGCGCCTCGAGCGCATCAAGTCGCAGATACTCGCCAAGGTGAACAGGCCCTTGTAGGCATACTCTCTTTTTATAGGATGGTCACTCCGCCTGCGCTATCAGCGCTGCGATACAGCGCGCCTTGAGCGCTACAAGTCGCAGATATTTGCCAAGGTGAACAGGCCCTTATGGCCATACTCTCTTTTTATAGCATTGTCACTTCACCTGCGCTATTAGAACTGTGATACAGCGCGCCTCGAGCGCATCAAGTCGCAGATACTCGCCAAGGTGAACAGGCCCTTGTAGGCATACTCTCTTTTTATAGGATGGTCACTCCGCCTGCGCTATCAGCGCTGCGATACAGCGCGCCTCGAGCGCTACAAGTCGCAGATATTTGCCAAGGTGAACAGGCCCTTATGGCCATACTCTCTTTTTATAGCATTGTCACTTCACCTGCGCTATTAGAACTGTGATACAGCGCGCCTCGAGCGCATCAAGTCGCAGATACTCGCCAAGGTGAACAGGCCCTTGTAGGCATACTCTCTTTTTATAGGATGGTCACTCCGCCTGCGCTATCAGCGCTGCGATACAGCGCGCCTTGAGCGCTACAAGTCGCAGATATTTGCCAAGGTGAACAGGCCCTTATGGCCATACTCTCTTTTTATAAGATGGTGACTACGGCGCTATCGTTACGCGCTGGCAGGGTACCAGTGACACTTTATCAAGAAATAACTACGAAGTGATGGCGATAGACTCTCACCCTGCCCTGGTTTCTAATGATTTTTTCTTAGATTATACAGATAGAGCATCGAGACTCAAAAACGGGTCAACTTTTTATTGGCTAATTGTCAATTTTTATTATATTTATATTTATATTATATTTTAATGGGTGACAATGGAATGGAAACCTCGCCGGCGCTATCGGTATCCACTGGCGGAGTACCAGAGGGAGACTTTGTACAAAAGTCGATTGCTTGGATACCTCTGTCCTATTCGTGTTTCTACCGTGAAGCAGTTATGTTTGCGTGGCTGTGTTTCGGTTTGAAGGGTGGGATATGGCGTGAATTTACAGGGTACAGGGAAATAACATCTGAGTCCTCAGGAATGGCAACGCATGGGGGGTATCATGGGCGTAACAGTATAGTCTGTTATGTCCATGGCACTGCTCATGTCTATAGGCAACAGTTACCACTTTCCATCAGGTGGGCCGTCAGCTTGTTTGCCATTCTAAGTTGTAAAAAATAAAAGAACAATAGATGAGGATGAAAGCAGGTCAGTTAACATAGTGACCAATTGGACAAGAATTAACCAATATGGTTTCCGGAGGGAACCGGGTGGAGGTCGACCTGATAGGATATATTGACAATTGGGCTGGAGACATGATTACTAACAATCCCTTCCCCCCCAATAAAGATGTAGGGTCAATACCCAGGATTGGGGGGAAGAGAGTGTTAGTAATGCGGACTATCAGTCCCATTGCCAGCAAAATACCCTATAAAGTCGACCTTCGCGTGCCCTACCCCCGCCCTTGGAAACCATCGTGCTGAATTCCTGGTGTATTAATCACGATGGGCTAACTGACCTGCCTTTTCATTCTCACCTGTCCTCCCTCACTGGTGACTCGCCAGTGTATAGCGTCATTGACGATGGCTTAATCATGTAATGTCCTATTCCAGCTGGGTCTCTCGTCGCGGCCGACGCCGCAGGGCGCGCCGCCACACGACGTGGTGCGCCAGATCTTGGCGCGCGCCGCTGACCCCCAGCCTCGGGCGCGGCCCGACCCCCACCACGACACCGAGCACGCTATGAGGGAGATCATAGCGATAGCACATAGAGGTTTATTTCGTTTCACTTTCATAATGTACTATGCGACCCGCCTCAGTAACGTACGGGTTAAACTATCTATATCAGAGCTGTCCAAAGCACGGGCCGCGGGCTGCATGCGACCCGCTTCTTTCTTCATTTAGCACAAATGAAAAAAAAAAGATTTTTTTATCAAACAAAAAAGAACACTTTCTCTTCAGATTTTATGTTTTGTATTGACCTTTAATCTATTCATACAAAATTTAATTAGTTATTATATTATGTATAAAAATATTCTCTCCAATCAAAAACGAAATAAAAAAATTTAAAGTGTGTATTGTGTCCCGCATATAATAAGGTTCCGTAGCTATTATGTTCGGAAATATATTATATTATGAAATTTATTGGTGAAAAATAAATAAATAGAAGAATAAATTATTTTTTTGTGTAATAACGATATGGTTGGGTATCTCTGTCCTATTCGTGTTTCAACCGTGAAGTAGTAGTGTTTGCATGGCTGTGTTTCGGTTTGAAGGGTGGGATATGGCGTGAATTTACTGGGTACAGAGGAATAATCAGAAGACGAATAAATAAGAAATAATCACAGTGAGAAAACAATAGGCGAAGTTATCGCTAAGAGCGATCTCTTGCAGGCAACCTTTGGATGGAGAGGAGTAATTATAAACAGTTTGACCGGAGGCACGATGATAATACTATTATTTCTAATATACATTATAGTAAAGTCGGTTAATAGTGATCGTTTGCGGGATTTAATGTCTACAATATTATGTCTGAGTAGACATTGTCTGCCGGCGGCCCATACAGCCTACTATGCCAATTTACGTATCAATGCTTAAAACGCACCGCTGTCTGTCTGGTCGTTGTCTGACCCATTTTTGACGGGATGGATGTTTTTGGCAACATTTGTAATAATCACACGTCATTTACATATTGTATACACAATTGTCTGGACGCTACATTATTTTCACATATAGATATATTATAATAATCTGAACAGAATACGTAAATACATTGTTACAACAAGAAAGCTTTTTTTTTTTTAAATTGATGATAATGAAATGGTAACCCCACCCGCGCTATCGGTATACACCGGCGGGGCACCAGTGAAGGATGATAGGTGAGGATGAAGCAGGTCAGTTAGCCCATCGTGACGAATTCAACAAGAATTGTTCACGATGGTTTCCAGGGGGAACCACGTGGAGGTCGACCTAATAAGGTATATTGCTAGCAATGGGATTCTCAGTCTCCATTACTAACAATCCCTTTCCCCCCTACTCACATATGTATTTTACGACGGGCTGTCAAATTCCATTGATAACAATCCTTTTCCCCCTGGATATGAAAGTTAGGTTTCTTTTTTTTCTAATATGAATCGGTTTTATATTTTTTTTTATTATACCACTGAGGTGGCAAACAAGCATACGGCCCACTTGATGGTAAGTGGTTACCGTAGCCTATGAACGCCTGTAATAACAGAGGTATTACGCGCGCGTTGCCGACCCTGAAGAAACCTCTTTACCCCCCTTTTGATTTTTTTTCGCAATTAATATACGTATTTTTTATAAAAACATAATGCTTATTAATATTTGAATAAAAGCTTAAATTATTAGATAGATAAATAGAGTCTTTATTACCACTAATAATAGTTAAAAAAAACAACAATAAAAAAGAGAAAAAAAACAATTAATTTTGCTGGTTGCTGGAGCCGCCTCAGCTGTTGCTATATATGCACACCTCCAGCGAGATGTACCTATACAGCGCTGATTTTCAGGCGCATCTTTATCTCCTTTAACTTTAGCATGCGTGCAGGTCGCCAATACCCATTAACTAAGCACCCATTGTATTGTATTGTAAAATCTTTATTGTACATAACTCAGATTAAAACTGGTAAATGATTTAATATACAATAGCGGACTTATCCCATAAAGGGATTTCTTACAGTCAACCTTTGAGAAGCTGAAAGAAAACTGTAGAATGTATAAGGGTATAACCGTACAATATACCCATATGTAAAGTTTTCTAATAATTAGTGTCTATACATATAAAATGTTTTATAAAAACATAAATAATATGAGAAAATGTTCAAATAAAGTTACGGAACCTTATTAAAGCGTGCCTCACTCACACATACACATATGTCCTCTAAACATTGTGAAGAAAATAAAAAAAAAATTACCTTTTTTTTTCATTTATTTTTTATTATATTTAAAGACATTTTGATTATCTGTTAATTTTGTGAATATTTTATAATTTTTTTTATTTATTTATTTAATTATTAATTTTATGTTATAATTATTTTATTTTTTTGTTTAAACGATACCTTTCGAATTATTGGCTGGTAATTCATCTGGTATCTATTATTGTTATTTTTTTATTTATAAAACTTTAATATCAACTATTTTAAATATTTTTTTTTTAATATTACGTGACATACTCTCTCATAATACTTTTTTTTTTTCAAATACCTACATTTACCAACTAATTATGTCTGCTACTTAGATTTTGAATAGAAAATGGACTCTGATGTAGATATATTTTTCAAAAAATATTATAGTTGAAAACTCTTTAAGTGATTGAAATGACCCATCTGAATTTTAAACATAAAATTATGTATATGTTTTATCATGGTATATTTAAGGATGTGTCCAATAATTTTCTTACAAGTTTGATTCCAGAAAATAGGTACATTGGAACATATGCTGGCGATGAAATAATGTAAGTACAGTGGCATTACTGAAACAGCAATATTATTGTTAGATTACATAATTATATTTTATACAAATACATATGATTTTTTACTAAATCACTATTAATAGACAGTCAATGGATTGATAAATGTTAATATTTTATTTTATATATATATATATATATATATATATATATATATATATATATATATATATATATATATATATATATATATATATGTATATATATATATTTTTTTTTGATGTGTGAAAATGGTATGGTAACTCCGCCAGCGCTAACGGGCTACGCTGGCGGAGCACCAGTGAAGGATGATAGATGAGAATGAAAACAGGCCAGTTAGCCCATCATGATGAATTCATCAGGAATTAACCATGATAGTTTCCAGGGAGAACCGCGAGGAGGTCGACCTGGTTGGGGTATATTGCTAGCAATAGGATTCTCAGTCTTCATTACTAACAATCCCTTTCATTCATGTATTATTTATGTATATTTTCAGGTCTATTTGAGAAGACGGCGCATTCAAAAATATGGGATTCAATTCACTTCTGTCAAACTGAATCTTTGGGAACAAGATTTCGGGCGGATTAATACAAGGTATGTTCTTTATGAAGCTTATTATATATATTTATATATATATATATATATATATATATATATATATCCGGATCATATCCATATACATGAGGGGATGATTGGTAACCCGCCCACGCAATCCTTCCGATTGCGTGGGCGGGGAAATGATAGGTGAGAATGAATGCAGGTCAGTTGGCCCACCATGATGGATTCGACAAGAATTACCTGTGTTGGTTTCCAGAGAGAACCGACGTTAGAGGGTATATTGCTAGCAATGGGGCTATTAGATCCTATTACTAACAGTCCCTTTCCCCCCCACATGTGAAGGGTTAAATGAGCTTAAAATGTACCAAAAACGATGGCTACAGTGTATTTTTCAAGCGACTTTAAAAAAGATTCTCAATTTGTATTTTTTTATATTTAACTAGCGGCCCGTCCCGGCTTCGCACGGATGGGCATTTATACAAAATTTTAAAAAGTAATTAATGTGACATAATGATAATAGTTGGACATATAGTATTGCGAAGTTTTTTGTAGTTATTGATATTTTCTTCAATATTTTAAAACATACTTTTGTTCTATCACCAATAGTTTCCGCAGCGCACGCGACGAAAGATATTTTATAGCATATTTTTTACACCTTGAGTTACGTTACTAAAGTTTTAGTAAGGATCCCTAATCTTTTCTAGCAATAAATATATATGTTACTCAGGGTGAATGTAGCTTTCTAATGGTGAAAGAATTTTTGAAATTAGCAAAGTAGTTTTTGAGTTTATTCATTACAAACATACATACACGCAAAAATACAAATCTTTGCTCTTTATAATATTAGAGTAGATGTAAATACTTTATAATTCCGTCAGTTGTAAACCGATTTGGGGAATTCTTTTTTTATTTAAAAGGGCATATTTACAGATTGGTCCTATGAAAATTTTGACACATTTGAGGTTGGTTTATTTATTGTGAAAATTTTTGTAAAAAACGACATATTTTAGTGTGGCTTTTTTATACAACTTAGAATGTCAAACAAGCTGATGGCCCAGCTGATGGAAAATGGTAACCGTCGCCTATAGACATGAGCAGTACCGTGGACATAACAGAGTATACTATTTCACCCATGATACCCCCATGCGTTGCCATTCCTGAGGACTCAGGTGTTATTCCTCTGTACCCAGTAAATTCACGCCATATCCCACCCTTCAAACCGAAACACAGCCATGCAAACACGGTTGAAACACGAATGGGACAGAGGTACCCAAGCAATCGACTTTTGTACAAAGCCTCCCTCTGGTATATATTATATTACCCATGTCTACTGTTTACATAAAGTTTTATTTTATCTCTGTACTAAAACATTAAAAGATAGTGTTAGAAATAGTGTCAATGGTACTGCTACATGTCTATAGGCGACGGTTACCACTTTCCATCAGGTGGGCCGATAGCTTGTTTGACATTCTAAGTTGTATAAAAAAAAGTGTGATTAGAAAGAAGTGTACACTAAAAAATAATGCAGTGCCAAAGATCGTAAAGAGAATGTTGTGTTGGTTTGGTCAATTGAAGAGGACGGAGGAAGAAGCGATGAGGTTTAGCGAATGAGATTTATCGAACACGATTGAGTGGAGATGTCGGTAGGGGTCGCTTTAGACGGCACGAAAAATAGTGACGTACGTATATGAATAGATTGATCAATGTGAGGGCAGCGAATAAAGGTTTTTTCAACCGGAGTATTAGGCGTTCTACTGTTTCTGCCTTATCCAAAAGGAGACAGGCGTGATGTATGTACGTATGAACGAATCGGTGTGATATAAATTTTCTCGAATAACAATAATAATTAAAGATTGTCTTCCACAGAAATATAGACTTCAAATTTGTGCTATTACGAGTTATTTCGATTTAAAAACTAAACTGTTAGACCGATTTTGATAAAATTTCTACGAGAACAAGTTGTAAATATATCCTTTCAGATAAGAGAAGAATTTTCGAAATCGGTCTAGAACTGACGGAGTTATGAGGTGACAAACATAAAAACACGCAACTGGGATTGATAACCTTCTTGTTTTTGAAGTAGGTTAAAAATGTGAATTGTTTTTGGCGAAATATTTAAAGATACACTCTCTAGTTGAAAAAATAATAGAATATATAGGATGTAAGCCTAAAACAATAACCCCTTTATTCATAAATAATGTTAAACTTCGTATAAACTTTTTTTTTTTTAATTTGCATACTTAATTAAAAAATATTCAAAAACTTGACGTCTATCTGTGTATTCTAATACGATTAAAGTGATACATTTCTTTTAAAATATAATTTAGATAAAATAAATAAATATACAATATGTAATTTACATAATACTAACGAATACTAACACTAGTTTTAAGGAATTTTTAATTTACATACAGTACACTTGTCATGAATCGAACAGTTTTTTTTTTGTGAACAACATTTTTTTTATACAACTTAGAATGGCAAGCAAGCTAACGGCACACCTAATGGAAAGTGGTAACAGTCGCCTATAAACATGAGCAGTACCGTGGACATAACAGAGTATACTGTTTCGCCCATGATACCCCCCATGCGTTGACATTCCTGAGGACTCAGGTGTTATTTCTCTGTACCCAGTAAATTCACGCCACATCCCACCCATCAAACCGAAACACAGCCATGCAAACACAACTGCTTCACGGTTGAAACACGAATGGGACAGAGTTACCCAAGTAGACGATTTTTGTACAGTCTCTTTTAAAATCTCGAAATATGATAATAGTGGGTGCTTGCAGACAGATTAATTAGGTCACATGCAATTAAAACTGCGAACAAGACGCACCAACTTTATACAGTAGCTATATAAAACAGGCGAACGCAATAAAGTGTATAAAACCACATCTCTCCAACCATTGCGCTCTGATTGCGTATCCTGTCTTCTCTGCAACTGTACCAAACAATATTCAACTTTGTGCGTTTGATTTTTAAACTTAAAATTGTGAATTCTATATTTTTTAATGTGAATCTCGGTCGAACGATTTTCAGCTTTATGCGCGAGCACATAAGGGCGGTATGATGTAATTGTTAGTTTTGTATCCGCAACCACTGACATTTGGGTGCTAGCCAGAATGCAACTACGTCCTGCTTTACGTTCAACTTAAAAAAAAAATGGTCTTAGATTTAATGTTTCCAGTGTCCTTTTTGTTTTATCTAGAAATGTCCGTAAGTTGGGGGAGGACATAAATTTTATTAAAAATAAAAAAATTCGTAAATCGAACGTCGACTGACTAAGGCTGACCGCACACGGGCTACAATTTTTTGAGCGACTAATCGATTGTCGTAGCGATCATTGCCTTGCATGTTACTGCAATATCCTGTTTGCAGAAGCGACCAAATAATTCAACGAAGCAACAAAACCTATTCTACTAATATTATAAATGTGTTAATATCCAAAAATATTTAAATTTTATGTTTCGCTTAAAAGACTGGACAAATTTTAATGAAATTCTGTACGCTAGTAGGTTATTTACCTAAGTTAACAGAAGTGAAAAGTGAAAAGATTGCTCTCAGCAATAAGACCGCCTTACTGTACTTATACAACTGTATCGTTGTGTTTGTAAATTGTCTTGCTTATTCCCTATATTGTCTCTATTTTTTTCATTTAAGAGTTTCCTCTTGTTGGTGCAACTAATTCATGCATCTTCCTCCAGCCAGCTCTATCCCAGGCAATATCCTTTATCTCCCTATATTGTATAATGCAAATAAAGTGTATTCATTCATACATACATTAACACATAGGATAAGATTTCTAAATTGTCAGCGTTACCTTTGAAATGTTAAAGTAGATGCAGGTGGCTTAAGACTGTTCCTTATGGCAGTCTATGGGGGAGTTCTATGTCCAGTAGTGGGCAGATAATGGCTGAAATAATGATGATGACGAGGACTAAAAGATATGTTGTGCCAAAAAATCTAACCTATATACAAATACATGGATGTATAAAAAAAATTAAAGTACCTCCATTTTCAAGTCGTTTTATAATGTACGTGCATTACAATAAATGTCACATCCATAAATTTATATTCAGAACACAAAAATGCACTCTGAGTGCGTCGTCCGCTCGCCAAGAATTGTACAGAGAAAATAAATACAAATAACACATACAAACGCACAAAATGTAATGTAATCTAAGTGCAATAGGCCATTCTAGAAACTGGCAATGGTACACTGGATTATATATATATATATATATATATATATATATATATATATATATATATATATATATATATATATATATATTATTTTTACGTAACTTAAAATGGTAACCGCTTACCATCAGGTGGGCCGTATGCTTGTTTGCCATTCTAAGTAGCATTAAAAAAATAAAGTTATCATTCCAAGTTATCATTCAGTAAAATCTTTATAATATTTTATTTCAGCCGTTAACTGTCCACTGCTGGACATAAGTCTTTCCCATAAGTAGAGTTTTGCCAGTAGTTGCCATGCTTGGCAGGTGGGTTGGCAACCGCAGTTAGGTTTTTACAGATGTTTTATGCGGGACGCTGCTGTCCATCCCTCGCCGTCTCTTAGTCGGCTCTTACGACACCCACGGGAAAGGAAGGGGTGGCCTATTCTATGCTGGAACCACACAGCACTTTATAATTTATAATATTAGTATAAATGAAAAATGATTTGAATTCTTTCTTTTTACACTTTTTTATGCACTTTCTTCCACGCACAACCTCTCTTTGGAATCAACTTCCAGCAGCAGTATTTCCGAATCGATACAACATCATAACCTTCAAGAAAAGAGCATATTCCTTTTTAAAAGGCCGGCAGCACACCTGCAATGCTGTAGGTGTTGTGGGTGACCATGGGTGGCGGTAGACACTTACCATCAGGTGAGCTCGTTTGCCCCCTGTGTTGTAAAAAAATTCAAATTTACAATCTAAAAAATGAACGCACTTTATTCAAATAGCAAATTTTATTCATAATGCAACGGCGAGGAATTTAATTACCTCGTCAAATAACTTTATCC